TTGTGCACGCAGCTTTCCCGTCTTCACACACAATGCACCGTCCCATTGAAGCCTCACAAAGAAAACCCCACAGTAGAATTTATGTCGCCCACTCCATTGTTGATTTTTTTTTAAAGAAATAGAGGTTTCTGATAGAAAATTAAGGCCACCATAGTCACTCCAGAGTGTCTGCAGGTGTGTACAGCAGGCAGAAACTTGAGCCCGAACTCGGATGCGGTGCTCACTCTTCAAAGAATTTATCCAGGCCGGGGCGCGGTGGCTCACGCCTGTAATCCTAGCACTCTGGGAGGCTGAGGCGGGCAGATTGCTCGAGGTCAGGAGTTCGAAACCAGCCTGAGCGAGACCCCGTCTCTACCATAAAAAAAAAATAGAAAGAAATTAATTGGCCAACTAATATATATATAATAAAAAAAAATCAGCCGGGCATGGTGGCGCATGCCTGTAGTCCCAGCTACTCGGGAGGCTGAGGCAGGAGGATCGCTTGAGCCCAGGAGTTGGAGGTTGCTGTGAGCTAGGCTGACGCCACGGCACTCACTCTAGCCTGGGCAACAAAGCGAGACTCTGTCTCAAAAAAAAAAAATAAAAATAAAAGAATTTATCCAAAGTTGAAAACGGCACGAGGCATCAAAACGCACCCTCCTTCTGCACGATCATTTATGATAGAGAAAACGGCACACCTAAAATTCCGCAAATTTAGACAGCACAGAACCTCCAGGAAATGCAAAACATTCAAGAGGAAAAGGCAGGTCTCCCTAAAGATGGCCAGCACTTGCTGAGCACCTTAACTACTAAGCAAACGCAGTTCTTTGCATTTTCCCGACAGTGGCAAACCGTTCACCCCGTCACAGCCCCGTGAGGGCCACCGCTCTTACCCGCATTCTACGTGACAAGAGACTGAGTCCCAAAGAGGTTTTATGACTCCCCCAGGTACGAAGCAAACCCCAACTGCAGGTGCCGGTCATTGCACTGAGTGGTAAAATCCTTTCCCTGCGACCCGAGCATCTCAGGATCCCTGCAGCCATCCCCGGAGCTGTGGCCGGCCACCCCGTGTGCTTGCAAGCCACGTGAAGTCCTAGGCCCTCTGCAATTCTTGACACCTGCCCGGCTTCCTCTTTGCAGCAGATGCAGCTCGAGGCCTGCAGGGGAAAGGCTCTTGGCACCCCCCCGGGTCGCTCTGTCCCCCAGACTGTTGGGAGGTTTTCTCTCCTGCAGGCCGGCTTTGTCACCGAGGGACTGTCTTCCCTCTAGACGGCTTTGCAGGACAACGAAAACACTTCTCTTGCACGCACCACATGACAAAGCCAGAAGGCGCTGGCCTTATCCACCCACCTATGCCCTTGAGCCTTCAGCCATTCCTTGAATGTGAACTTTTCTAGACTCTTCCATCTGCATGCATCCAAATGCAAAAATAGCTGCCATTGGCTGCACGTTTTCTCTGTCCCCATCCCTTCGCCCACTTTCCCTTATTTAGTCATGCCAAGGCCCCCACGCGAGGTGGCCACACACGTCCTGCCGTTGGCACAGATGAGGGGCCCGGTTCTCAGAGCTCAGGTGGCAGGATGCGTAAGGTCACCCGGTCAGGACGAGGCAGAACCAGGATCTTGCTGGACTCCGGCCCTCTCCACGCTCGACTTGCTCTGCTGCCTCATTTCCATGCGTGGCCCCCGTTTTTTCGGGGTCCTTACACCCAAACAAACAGATTAGTAAATAACAGTCACCAGGCACCTCAGCATTTGGTGGAGCTGAAACGCCACAGGCCGTGCGCGGTGAGTGGCTCACGCCTGTGATCCCGGCACTCTGGGAGGCCGAGGCGGGAGGATCTCGAGAGGCCAGGAGTTTCAGACCAGCCTGGGCAACACAGTCAGACCCCATCTCGACGACAGGAAAAAAAAAATTTTTTTTTTAAATATTAAATATTAGCCAG